ATCCCAAGAATGATCTAACAACTTGTGTTCCGAGTTTCCCTGCCAAAGGGAATCTATTCAATGCATTGGGATTCACATAAGTCTGTGTTCAAGACCCAGGTTTGCGGCTAATTCTCAAATATTTGACCTGGGTTAGTATGTAAATTTTCTGAGGACTGTGTGATAGGGTAAGCATAAGCCTATGTCACAGAGCTGTGGGCCGGACTAAATGAGCTAGCCATATCTCTGGCACTTAAACATTCTTAAGGATGCTAGTTATTTTTATTATTATACTTTGTGGGTTAAAATTCCCTACCAAATTCCAAATTCAATATGTGTAATAAGGAAAAGAGCCATGGATTGTGTGTGTTTCATCCCATAACTTCAGGCTCTAACAAAGCAAGCATAGAGTAAATACAAAAACAGTTTTTAATTAAATGCTTGTAACTTTAAAGAGGTGTTAAGGATTTGATCTGGCCCGTCATGCTACTTGGACCAAATCCAGGGGTGGGTATGGTAGCCAACTAAAAGGGAGTGTGGGGGAGGGATAAAAATAGGGCACTGACCCACCCAAGGGAAGGGTATTGTTTGTGTCCCCACAGGGAAAAAGGGACCAGATTCAAATCCGGTGTTCCGGGATGCGAATGCAATGTGTGGGCATGGACAGAGGAGCCAGTGGAGGGGCCTGAGGGCTCCGTCCCAAAACCAGCTATGTGGACAACCACCCCTCCCTCAAGAAGAACTTACTTTAGACGATGGCAATGAAGCTTCAGCTAGGGGAGAGGGACATGTCTGATCAGAGCACACAGGAGCAAATGAATGGGGAGGAAGAGAGAGTGGAGCACATTCTGGCCCACCAGGCTTGGAGGACCATATCCCCACTCAAAACAGTCAATGCACAGAGTGGACCATATGGCTGATCCCACTATGAGACACGACATCCCTCACTGACCCATGGCCCTACGGGGGACAACACTGGCCCGGTCTGACCCAGCGACATGGAGGCAAAACACTAAAGGCCTGCGGCAGAACAACAGGGGAGCGCAAAAGATAAGACTTTGGGGCCAGAGCTTGGCACCCCATTGGACTTGACTGTAGGACACTCCTACAGGTCAAAAATCAGACCTTGATCTTATTTACAGCTTTTTCTGTCTTAAAAAATTTTTTTCTTTTTCTCTTTTTAAAATTAATTTATTCTTCTGTGGGTCATTGGTTTTCTTTTCTGTTGTCATCATTGTGTTCTCTTTTGTCGCTTTTCTTGCTATGCCTTGTTTTTTGGTGCATATTATTATCTCTGCAGATGGGCTGGATGAACAGTCTGGAGGAGAAAACAATGGGACCAATGGTTCCAGTGGGACATGGAAGAGGGAGAGGCAGGGGAAAGGAGGTGGTGTTGACCAATCCAGGTCAATAAGTGTCAAAATTAGTGTCAAGGAGGGTGTGAGAGGCTTGGTAGGGATTCAGCAAGGGCAATGTAACTGAGAGTAATTACTGAAACCCAAATGAAGGCTGAGCATGATAGTGGGACAACAGGAAAGTGAAAGGAAATAGAGGAAAGAACTAGGAGGCAAAGGACATTTATAGAGGTCTAAATACAGGCATGTACTTATGTAAATATATTTATATAGGATGGAGGGGAAATAGAGCTATGTACATATATTCATAGTTTTAGCATTAAGGCAGCAGATGGACATTGGACCTCCACTCAAGTACTTACTCAAAGCAAGAACACTTTATTCTATTAAATTGGCATCCCATGATGTGCACCTTCCAGTCCCGATCACTGAAGACAATTATGTGCATAAGCAAATGTCGTGAAGAAAGCTGATGGTGCCCGACTATCAAAAGATATAGCATCTGGGGTCTTAAAGGCTTGCAGGTAAACAAGCAGCCATCTAGCTCAGAAGCAACAAAGCCCACATGGAAGAAGCACACCAACCTGTGTGACCACGAGGTGTGGAAGGGATCAGGCACCAAAGAACAAAAGGCATCAAAGACCAAAAAATCATATCATTGTAAATGAGGGTGAGTACAGAGTGGAGACCCAAAGCCCATCTGCAGGCAACTGCACACCCCTTTACAGAAGGGTCGTGGGGAGGAGACAAGCCAGTCAGGGTGCAGGGTATCAACCATGAAGCCTACAACTTTTCTCTAGTTCTTAAATGCTTCCTCCCCCAACTACCATGATCCCAATTCTACCTTAAAAATCTGGCTAGACCAAAGGATGTACACAGGTACAGATAGGAACTGGAAACACAGGGAATCCAAGACAGATGAACCCCTCAGAACCAGTGGTGAGAGTGGCGATATCGGGAGGGTGGAGGGAAGGTGGGGTAGAAAGGGGGAACTGATTACAAGGATCTACATATAACCTCTTCCCTGGGGGATGGACAACAGAAAAGTGGGTGAAGGGAGACGTCAGTATAAGATATGACAAAATGATAATTTATAAATTATCAAGGGTTCATAAGGGAGGGGGAGTGGGGCGGGAGGGGGAAAAGGAGGAGCTGGTACCAAGGGCTCAAATAGAAAGAAAACATTTTGAGAATGATGATGGCAACACATGTACTAATGAGCTTGACACAATGGATGCATGTATGGATTGTGATAAGAATTGTACGAGCCCCCAATAAAAAGATTTTAAAAAAATAGGTGCTAGGAAATTGCTTTGGCTGAATTACAAAAGAAAGCTATTTCTTCGGTGTTATTCAATATCCCAAATTCTGCTTATATTCATAATGAATCAGACATTTTATTCTCTGTAACTATTTAATCATGTGCTTGGGGGAAATGTTATTTTAACTTGTGTGTGTCTCAGAATTCATTAATGGTTAGGTTTGAGAAATTTTTAAAAATTGTTTATATACTTTTTTCTTTCAAATCATTTTATTAGGAACTAACCCACACATCATACCATTACATAGTTCAATCATATCAAGAAGTATTGTAAAATCAGTTTCAAAGTATTTTCTTCCTTCTTGTACTCCTTGATATCGGCTCGCCATTACACAGCCAATCCCCTGGTGTAACCCCCAGGGACCCTTATTTTAATTATTGTCTCTGTAAATTAATCCATCCTGAGTTTCATATACTGAAAAACATAGAAACATACATAACTGAGAGTCAAGAAAGCTACCAACGATGACAAAATACAACAGAGATAAACGCCAATATGAAAAAAAAAGCCCACAGAAATTACTAAAAACCAGATCAAGCACAAAGTGTTTCAAAAGGGAGATCAGATGACAAGGTTTTAAACATTCACATGAGAATTATTTTATTCTACTACAGTCATCTCTACAATACTCTCTGTCTGATCACCGGGTTACTTCCGTCCCTCAATTATGATCAGAGAAGGCTTATTCCCTGTGTGGAATTGGCAAATGCATTTTGGGCTTCCATTGTCATCCCAAACCAAAATACCAAATGCACCGCCGCGGAGTCAATGTGAGTCACAGTGACCCCTGTGGGTTTCTCAGACTGTAACTGTTTACAGGAACAGAAAGTCCGAGGAGCTGCTTGTGGTTTCAAACAGTGGAGGAGGCAGACCACAGCCCAGTGTGTAACCGCTGCACCACAAGGGCTCCTCCTGTCACCCATAATCTTTTGCAAACCAGAATCTCACAGTTTAAACTCTGATACTATTCCGTCCCTTGTATTTGGATAATACAATCCACAATCCTTAGATCACACAGGCTTCTTCTATGCGGCTTAGTTGACGTCTCACTTAGATGGCTGCTTGAAGACCACAGATGCTGTCCTTCCTGATAGCCCGGCACCATCTAATTTCTCCACCACACTTTGTGATAGCACCCATATCTTCAGTGTTTCCTTCATGAGGGCGAGTGTTGAGCAGGTGAGCAAATGTTTAAATACCACTAGCATGCCCTAAATTCATTCTGAAAATGAGAGGGGCCTCAGCACAGAGGTCAAATGAACAGGGTTTCTCAAGCCCTCCTTTGCAGTTACCATCAAACCAACTTCAACTTGTGGTAACCGCATGTGTTGAAATTAAAATGGGATTTCATAGTCTTCAAGGCTGTAAACTTTTGGAAGCAGATCGCTACATCTGTCTTTTGAGGTGAGTTGAAACCACATTTGGCCGGGTAGTCAAGTGCTCCAGGGTTTGCACACCCAGGCATTCTTCTAGAGCTCGTAAGCAAAGTGGAGGTGGGTCATGATAGTAGTAATAACGGACTAAGGGGTCCTAATGGTGCTGTTGTTAGGAGTTTGTCTGCCAAATGGAAGGTTGGCAGTTTGAACCCACCAGCCATTTGAAGGGAGAACATATCCGGTGATTTGCTCCTGTGAAGATTTACAGGCTTGGGGACTGCAGGGGAGCTGTTATACTCTGCACCGTAAGGTCACTAGGATTCGGAATTGACTAAGCAGCAGTGGGTTTGGTTTGGGTTTAGTTTTTAGCTATTTCTGGTCACAAACGAGCACAGATTTCACAGTTTAAAATGATATGCATTTGTTAACACACTATTTTTTTATGAGTCATGAATTGAGACAGAGCTTAGCTGGGTTAGGCTCCATCAAGGGTTAATATGCTGTGTTCTTAACTGGAGGTTCAAGTAGGAAAGAATGAGCTTCCAAGATCACCCAAAAATGAGGCAGTATTTATATCCTTATAATTTTATTACCAAGGGCCAGACTACTTGCTGGCTGTTAATTAGAAGTCACCCTCAGTTCCTCGAAGCATTTTATTGAGAAATGGGCTTCTTCAGCATGGCTCTTAACCATATTAAGCAAAGAGAACCTCTTGTTATAGTCTGCTGAGATGGAATCTTATATAAGATCATGTCATTGTGGTGTGACATCCCATCACCTTTGCTATAACATAACAAGGAAATGACATTCTATCACTTTTGTCAATTCTATTAGTTTGAAGCAAGCCACATGTCCCCATCATTGTCAAAGGGAAAAAGAGATTACACAAATAGTTGAGAATCTTTGAGTATTTAATCAAGCAATCAAGCAATCAAGCAATATTTAATTGGTCAGTTACCCTTATGTATTCAATTTTGCAAACATTGTTCCATCAAACTAATTATGTCTTGGTAAACTTCTTGTGGTGCATCTTTTCCAAGGTAAAAATCCACATGATTGTAGTGGGGAATAAGCTTGTAAAAAATAAAGTTGGAAATATTAGGGAGTAAATTTACAACGTCTTTGGGATCGGCCACAATGTCTTGTCCACCATGCCACACTGCTGTCGGAACTTCCATCTTACTAACATTGTATATGGGCGGTGTGTGCTAAATGCAATTGGAGAGAAAGAAAATAATCTTTACAGGAAACCACACTAAAGAAATAATATTAGCTTTCAACTTCCAACCAAACCCTTCAAAAAAGTAAACTCTTAAGGTGTTTAGAAACATTACAATGCTACAAAGAATCAAAACTAACGGTGTGTGATTAGCTGTGTATAGTTATGTCACTGACTTCAAATTCAGAAGGAATCAGAAAAGATTCTAGAACAAGGAGGTGCCTTATTTTCCTGGGGACCGTCTTTCTAGTAATATTCTTAATAGCTGTGTCCTTGTCCAAACTGCTGGTATTATTAATCTCACTTGGAAATAAGCCTCTGGCTTTTTAAGCACGCATAGTGGATTTTCTGTATAGTTTTGGTTTTTCTTAATGATTCACTTCCCCCCTCAAATTACAAGTACAAGATCCAAACCTGAACCTGAATTACACAGAGTAATGGTTTTTATTCAACATCTGGCCTAGTATGAAAGTTAACATCGATGGCCCAACTCTTATCCAAGCAGATATCTGAGTCTTAAAAAGTTTCTGGGACAAAGGTTACTAATAAGAGGATAAACTATTACTTTGACTTAGTATTTATGTGTGTTGTGTGTACACATCACCATGATAACTTAGCAGACAAAATTTAGACGTTTCACAGCCCTTGAAGTAAAAAATTGTGATTGTTGCAGGTAAAGTGCCACTAAAAATTACCCTTCGATACTTTTAAAGGAATAAAGATTTTTAAATTCCCCAAACTCTACAGCCTTGGTTTGAGGAAAGTACTTATCTTTATATGCACTTGAATACTTTGATTTAAGTCTATCAGCAAAAAGTCAAAAATCATTGGATTTGCCTCTGTCCTGGGAACAAAACCATGGTAATAATATGTATTATCTTTTAGCATATAATTTTTTTCAGGAAAGTTTCAGTTTATGTCAAGAATATCTTGACGCACCTTTCTCTAGGTAATACCACTGCTTATTTTGCAAATGAAGTTTTGGAGTGTATTTTTACCAACTCATATATTTTTGTTGTTTGTAATGGAAAATAAATGACATCCTAAATGAAGAAGGCAACATTCATTTTGCTAGAGATGGATAAAAAGTGTGAAGATATGGTTTAGAAACCAAAAATGTAGTCTTAAGTCCTGAGACATTCTGTGTTTTGAGAAGTAATTGGTACACAGTACAAGGAGGATAGACTTTAAATCTGAGAAATCTGGGGTCATATCATGACTTTTTAGTAGCCAAAAGGACTTGCAACTTAATCTTACTTCTCTGAGCCTCTGGGAAGAAAATGTGAAATAATAATATTTACCATGCCATGTCATTGAGGGAGTCAGAAATAATAATTGGCACGTGATAAGATTCCAATAAGCAGCATGTCATGTGCATAAAAATCTACATAGTGAATAGGCCATAGTAGGTACTGGTTTTAATAGTTCGTTTGCAGTACATAACTGCTGGTTATTATTACTCTATTGTACCTGGTTAAAGTGCTTCATGTTCTGGTTTGGGCTTCCCCAATCAAAAGCTTGGAGCTGGCCAGAATTAACAAGCTAATGTAAAAAGAAAACAATATAAACATTCACATGATATAAGAAAACCACCCAGTTAAAGAGAGTAAGCAAAAAAATACAGACTTGACCTATCTCTCACTATTTAGGCACATGAGTTAAAATTAAAAGTACATCCGTTCAAAACTAGAAATGTCAAAAAATCTGAACTAACGTACGGAATTGACTTAATGGTTTATATATGTAAACTTTTACTCTTCCCTGTGCCACTGTGATGTATTCTGAGGCATGGACGCTCCAAATGCTTAATGAGAAATTTTAGAAATAGTTTTAGTAACTAATGATTCTTCAATAGTTTAGATCCAAGAATTCCTTTTAAAAATTGGAAGCACCAGGGACACATTTCCCGCACTTGAAGATGACTATTACTATGAAACCACTTTCTCTCTTCATAGCCTCATCAGGAGTTCTGGGGCAGTGCTCCAAAATGCCAGCCCATCGAATCCGTCGCGCTAAGTCGATTTCAACTCACCGTGACCCAAATGTGTTCCAAGCAGCCTGTGCTCCGCAGGGTTATCAACAGCGGCCTTGCCAGGAGATCCCTGGGCCTTTTCAAGGTGCCTCTGGGTGGGCTTGGCCCTCCAACGTGTTGGTTAGCAGCCGGAGAGCTTTGTGCACCCCCTTGAGGCTAACTACAGGGTATTCTTATTACTTTCCTTCTTAATAAGCTGATTTATTACAATTAAAGAAAATATTTATTTTCAAAGCTTCCATTGCCCTGTCTTGGAGCTTCTAGGATGTTATCTGCCTATTGTCTGCTGAGCCCGAACACCAAGTCTTTAAGACACTAAGCAAAACCATATGTTAAATTTTATTTTCAGATTTCAGACATCGGACTACATCATTAACCCATCGCTCTCATGTGGACTCTCTGTTGGCCCAATGGTGAAGCACTTGGCTATTGGTCCAATGCTGGCAGTTTCAACCTACCTGCTGCTTCCTGGGAGGAAGCTATGGTGATTGCTTTGGTCATGACTACGGTGTTGGAACCATGTTGAGGTCGTTCTAATCCAGCGGTTCTCATCCTGTGGATTGCGTCCCTTTTGGGGGTTGAACGGCCCTTTCAAAGGGGTCACCCAGTTCATAACAAAATTACAGTGATGAAGAAGCAACAAAAATAATGTTATGGTTGGGGGGTCACCACAACATGAGGAACTGTATCAAAGGGGTGAAGCATTAAGAAGGTTGAGAACCACTGCTCTAATCTGTCCTACAGTCACTATTAAATGTAATCTGTCTTGGGTTTTAGTTTTCTTCTATTTGTCATTTATGCGGAATTCAGGAAGTAGATAGATGATTTTCACATTTGCATTAAGCTTTGTATTAAATCATTCCTAGAGTACTCTAAGGGGTATTTTCTTAGCTTGACAGATGTTTTTGTTTTAGTTTTCCTCCCACACTTACTGATTTGATCTCAATTTGTAGTTAAACATGATTTTACCATGATTTACAGTTATAAGGGCAGCTGTGGACTGCTACTTGATTGCTACAGATTTTCAGCAATGGAACGCAGAATGTTTTAGGAAAGAGCTTAAGTTTTAACCTCAAACAGAACTGGACTTGTATTTAAGCTTAATTTAATTTATGATCCAGAGCAATGAGAGAAATAATACTATCATTCTCATTTCAGAAATGAAGGAACTGATTTAATGAAATAAAATGAGAATCGTAGCAATATTTATCTCACTGGTAGGAAAAATGAATGTATTGATAAAGCATACAGTGTCTCAACAACTACCTTTTAAAAATAAATATTGCTACCGTTATCCTTAAGCTTGCTTTAGCTGTTTCTGTAACTAAAGGTCAGATAGTCTATACTCCCAACCTATTTTTATACTGAAAGATACTGTCGATGGATAACAGTTCTCTTTAAAAGAAATCAACGGGGAAGTGTGTGAGGGATTGCCTCCAGCATTTGTAGAATATGGATATCAGTGCCTTCACTGAAAAAAAATTGTTAGATGGAATAAAATTATACATATAAGCATGAGGAAGAATATATAGTAGGTGTATACCTACTATACCTGTGTATACCTGTGAGGTCATGCTAATTTAAAGATTTATCTATCTCTCCACCAGAAGCAGGACCTATGTACTGAACATCTCGCTTCATAAAAGTACTTGAAGGCTGTCATCTTTAGAATTATTCAAAGGATTTAGGAAATACTCAACTAGTGTTTCATGTTGTACTTGTTTCAGGGTAGAGGGAATTTTTTTTATTTAAAATATATAGAAGAGAGTCTCATGTTTAAAGAGGAAACAAACATATTAGGTTATAACTTGAACTGTAAATTATTAGAGATCACAATTATAACAAATTACTGTGTAACCCTCTGTCTACACACACATACACCTCAGAAAACCAAAGTACCATAATTGAATGTGACTTATTTCTGAGCTTGTTAATTATTGTAAAATAAGGATAAACATGAGATATAAAATGACTTAAGTCCCTCATCAACACTTAATTTTCTTTGAAAAAAGTTTGATTTTTCACACTGCAAAATGTCCCATATTCCAGTTCAGTAAAACATATTTCTGGAACACTCATTGTGCTGATTCCAGAAACATCCAACCAACAGTGGAAGGGTCTGGCCAGCCCTGGTGTCCGCTCCCTCAGAATATAGCTGCAGGGTAGCACCAGGCATCAGGCACAGGGAGGACATACCTGAGACCAGTGCAGCATGTTCTGGACAGAGGTTCCCATGATGAACTGCGCCAAATAAACGTCTAAGCGACTCTGCAAAACAGAGAGGATGCCTCACCTGCACGTCAGAGGTGAATGTTTGAGAGAAGTCTACACATTCTAAAATGTAAAAAGCACCAGACTTTCTAAATGCATATTCGCAAAACAGAAAAAGGTCTACTTTCAGGAATTTTCCCCCTCATCTGGTTCTATTCTTTTTTCTGGATAGTGTCTCCAAGGAGCTCACAGAGGGCTTTCTAGAAGCATAAGGTAATAAATACACTTTTCTAGCCTCACTTGAAACAGGTCTATAAACACAGGGAAATCAATTTAAAAGGTCAGTGTCCTCTTTGGAGAGGAATCAGGAACCCCTCCTTCACCATATGGTGCATTCCAAGAAAATTCTTGTGACAAACAATGAGAACAGATATGTAATCTTTCTGATAAAGACTGTGGACTCTGTGGATAAGACATAGCCATGCACTATTTATTTTAACCTTCATTAAAAATTAGGCTTCTTTCCAATAAAACAGAACTGATTCATGTATATTTCAAGTCGTCTTATATATGGTCACATATGAGAGGGCTTGAATCTGTGGGAAAAAAAGCAATGAAAAGATAATGGAATTTTCCATGAACTCCCCCAAGCTTCATCATGTATAAGTGATTATTTATACATGGGTTACTTTCCACCAAAGTTAGCATAAGTAATGTCTTAGAGTTTTAAAAATATATATACCGGCCAATGAGCCATCCATACCTACTGGATCTGTTTCTAGAGTTGAATTTTGGGCTTTTGTGCTTTTTAAAATATTTGACACATGCTATTCCTGGCCCCTAATTGTAAAGACCTCGTAGGAGCTATAATATTATATAGTCTAGTATTCAAAGGTGAGACAAAAGGCAATCTCATTACATAAATGTTCAACCCATGCTCCGCTGAAACAACTCAATGAATGCTCAAAGGCAAAATTTTATGAAGTCTCATTTTAGGACACTCTTAAGTCATATTAATAATGTACTTAGAGATTATATTTGTGTGTGTGCATGCTTAAAGATGTTTTACACGTAGTTTGCTCATCTACGTACCAACGGGATATGCTCCCATTTAAATGACATATCTACCATCTGTCCACTTGTTGTGTCATGGTAGCATGCACATTACTTTGATGCTAGAAACAATGCCACCAGTATTTCAAATGCTAATAGGGTCACCCATGATAGACTGGTGTCAGTAGAGCTTCCTGACAAAGACAGGCTAGAAAGGAAGATCTGGCGATTCTAATTCTGAAAAACAAATTGACCAGGGAAAACCTTATTCATAGTAACAGACTATTGTATGACACAGTGCTGGACAATGAGCACCTCAGATTGGTATGAACTCAAAATACAACTCTTCTCAAAGTACAGTCAACTTAACAAAGTGGATAGAGTAAAGCCTCTCTGGCCTTCATTTGCTGATGTGGCATGAGTCAAAAGGAGAAGAAACAGCTGATAGACATCCATGATTAATCACAATGTGGAATATATGCTGCATATACAGGAAAACAGGAGGTGGTCAAGAATAAAATAGAATGTTGAGGAGAGATATCTTAGGCATTAATGAGCTGAAATGAACTACTATTGCTCATTTTGAATTACACAATCTTATGTCTATTGTGACAGGAATGACAATTATAGGGAAAATGGCATTACATTCCTTGTCATGGAGAACATTTCAAGATCTAACCTGAAGTATAATGCTGCCAGTGATAGAATAATAATCACATACCTACAAGGAAGACCAGTTATTACAACAATTATTTAAATTTATTAGCAAGCACTAATTCCAATGATAAAAAACACAAAAGGTTTTACAAACTTCTACAGTCTGAAATTAATTAAGCATGCAGTCAAGTTGGTGATTAGAAGCAAAAATTGGGAACAAAGAAGCATCAGGAGTTGGAAAATATGACCTTATGATAGAAATAACATGGGCGCTATCATGATAGGATTTTTTTCAAAGTCAACAACAACAACCTATCCGATGAAAATACCTTTTTTTCTACAATACGGATAACTATTCACATGGATATCAACAGATGAAATACACCGGAATCAAATTGACTAAATTTCTGGAAAGAAATGATGGAAAAAGCTCAATATCATCAAAGCGAACAATGTCAGGGACCAAAGGATTGCTCATATGAAAAGTTCAAGTTGGAGCTGAAGGTAAGGAAAACAAGCCCATAAGAGCCTAAATATGATCGTGAGTATATTTGCATTTAAAACCATGTCAAGATTAGATTGGAGGCACTGGGCAGGAAAGACTGGAGGCCATAAAAACGGTGGATGACATTAAGGACATCAAGGAAGAAGGCTCATTAAACAGACAGGGATCAAAAGGACCAAAATGAATGTCTTAAGATTCTGAAACTTACTCTTGAATTTAGAGTAACTGAAGTAAAAATGAAAAATCAATGGAATAAACTATTTAAACAGAGTATTTCAAAGATTGGCTCAAAAAGATAAAGTATTATAATTAAATGTATGAAGACTTGAAGTTAAAAAACAAAAAAGAAAACTACACTCAGTATTTCTCAAGATGAAATAACTGAATAAATAATGCAGCTTCAAGTTGAAATATTATAAAATTTTATGAGCTAAAGATTGATTGGCCTAAGAAGCATCAAAAGAAGGTGGAAGGAATAAAAAGTTAGTCACTGTGCAAAAAAATAATGATGTTCAACCATTTTAGGAGATAGCATATGATCATATAGAAAGAATAAGTTTAAATTACACTGAAAATCTTCCAGATAAACTAATACTCCAGGAATTGAGTGAACATAAACTGAAATGTTTCAACAAACAAATGCAATATATACGCTTGTCGTGTGTCTCTGAAAGGCATTTGTAAAACAGCTTCCTGGTCAGCTAACCGGAGGAGATCCATCTTTATGCTCACTCCACTGACAGATAATCCAATAGAATGCATGTTGTTTAACAATATTGTTAGAATAGGAAACAAGTGAAATTTTCTGATAATATTAAAAATTGTTGCAGTAGTACATCCAAATATGAATTGCCAGAAATTCAAGATAGAGAAGATAAGAAATTAGGGATATCATTGCTGATGTCAGATAAATCTTGGCTGAAAGCAGATGATACCAGAAATATGTGTGCCATGCTTTAGTGACTATGCAAAGACATTCAACAATGTGGATGGATCACAATGTGGATACCATTGCAAAAACATTTAATTGTGCTCATTCAGTACAAGAGGACGCTGCTGTCGGGTGTGTGGCATGTTCTATCCTTCCATCACACTTATTCAATCTGTATAGTGAGCAAATAATTAAATTAACTGGACTCTATGTAGAAGAATGTGCCATTAGAATTAGAGGAAGACTCATTAACAACTTGCAATAGGCATATGACATGATCATACTTACTTAAAGTGAATAGGATTTCAAGTACTTACTGATAAAGCTGAAATACTGCAGGTTTCAGTTTGAATTATACTTCAACATAATGAAGACAAATTCTCACAACCAGATCAATAAGCAACATCATGATAAAATGGAGGTAACATCGAAGTTGTCAAAGATTTTATTTTACTTTATTTCTCTCATACCCATGAGAGAAACAGTCAATAAATCAAATGACATTGTATTGGACAAATACATAAAAACTACTTTAAAATGTGAAAAATTAAAGATGTCACCTTTAGGACTTTGGAGTTCCTGACCCAAGCCGAGGTAATGTGAGAAGCTCATTTGCATACAAAAGCTGCACAGTGAATAAGGAAGGATGGAGAAGAATTGATACATGGAAATGATGGTGTTGACCAGGAATCTTGACTACACCATGGACTATCATAAGAAAGAATTGGCCTGTTTGGAAGAAGTATAGTTCAGAATGCTCCTTAGAAAATTGGGTGGTGAGACTTCATCTCATATCCTTTGGACATGTTATCAGTAGAAATACCTTGAAGAAGGACATCATGCTTGAGAAAGTAGACGGTCCATGCAAAAGATGAAGATCTTTGTGATCGTTAAGTTTTTGTGTCAACTTGAGTGAACGAGGGTTCTCAGTGGTTTCTCAGTTAAGATGTAGTCATCCCTCCTGATGAGATCTAATATAATGTTATCATCTCCATAATCAAATCTACTCTGTGAAGCCAATCAATTGCAAGGAAATTTCTTTCTGGTGTAACCTGCTTCCAATATAGGTGGAAGCTTTAGAAAAGCTTGCTTTTTGCTTGGTATGGATACTGTGCCTGGTTCATCCTGTGACATTCAGTTGTTTAGACTTGAGACTGTTCTATTGCCTACTGATCCCTAGTGTTATCTGCAGGCTGCTATCATATCTGCAGTTCGTGAATTCATTTGTCTTTGCGGTCAGAGTCCTGTTATCTGACTTGTGGGCCTTGAGTTCATCAGCCTCTGCAGGTATGCAAATCAAGTGAAGTCACCCTATGACTTTGAACTTAACACTTTGTACAATCTTGTGAGCCCTATACACAAGAGAAACCTCTCTGTAGAAATACATATATAAGCTTCATTCATTTCGCTTCTCTAGAAAACTCGCCTGATTTACAGTGGCTTCAACAATGGGCCTAATATAATATAGCAATGATTCTGTTTATGGTACAGAATTAGGCAATATTTCATTCTGCTGGACATAGGTCACTCTGAGTTGGCAATGTCTCACCAGCACCAAGCAGTAAAAATAACAAATCGCATGTGAGAATAGGTTCCCTAGTAAACAGAAAATGAATGTGAAAAAGCAGTGTTTATGGCATGCTTACACAAAAAATCTTTTACAAATTTTCTTTGAAAACAAGGACAATGTTATCAGTGTTTTCCAGTGGAAAATATACAGGCTTTCGGCAGTACTTCTGAGATGATGGAGACTAACTTTACCACTCTCTCATTCTGGCTTCAACCATCTCTCCTCTCTATTTGGGGAGCAGAGGAAGATTCTTTCTGTCCCTTTACCACTATTTGAAGTCAGCTTTTAGTAATTTAGGAAGGAAAGGATTACACTTATGTTAGATATAATTTGACAAGAATCTCAACATACATTCCAGGATGCATTTTTACAATAAATCTGTAGATATCTTTGGAAAGACCTACCTTTACCCTATTGAATTAAAAGATTAAGTGGTTCACAAAATCACTATTTTCATATAATCTGGGGAAATGGGAGATTGATTAAAAAATTAAAATGCCTGAGAGTCTTCAGTAGCTTTGGGATAAGGCTCAAGTAAAGCCAGGTATGCCCTAATCTAAATGAATGACCTTTCCTTGGTGGCATCTTTGTCAACAACAATAGCTTGTGAGGATTTTGAGCAGCAAAGCATTTTCCTTAAATCCTTCTACTGAAGAAGGTAGTCTCTCAACCCTGTTTGGATGTCATGAAAATACTGACATCTCCAGGAGAGAAAAAGGAAAGTGTAAAATGTGGTTTGCATGCATTCTAATCACCTATGTGCAACAAAACAATTGATTTCCCCTCCTCCACTACTTACTTACACATACCATGTTTAGGTTTTTTGGATCAAATCCACTTAGAGTAAATATGAAGCGGCTACACATACGGCGGAACAGCTTCTGGCTGCAAACCTTGGTGGCGATGAATTGGTTGAAAAATGTATGAGGAGAGAATACTTTGTCACCAAGGAAAGCCTGAAAGATCAATAAAAAAACACGATCAAATTTCATAGTATTGGATATTAAGAATAAAGAATGAGTGGTAATTAAGACAGGGCTGGATGAAATCAGACATCTTCTCAGTATTGGCCAATTCATTTATTTCTGTCTCTTCTCTAAGCACTTTTAATTGGGATGTTTCTAATGGTGCCTTGAAAAATCAGTGCCCATAGGAAAGTGGTAAGGTTTTGGAGCCAGGCATTCTTGATTTTGATTCTAGACGCCATCTCAAGAGTTAAAAGCAACCCAGGTAAATGTTATTATATACACAATCACAACAACTATCATCTATAAGTGGATGTATAAATACATATGCAAACTGAACAGGTATGGGAAGGTGAATGGGATACCAATGAATATATTGATATAGATAAGGTTATAGATATATCCATAGATATATATGATTTAAAAGATAAAGCTAAGTATAGATGTGGATATCAATATAGATATATAAGTGACAGTATATTTCTACATATGTATTTCACCATATGTTAGAATTGATTTTATGACAGTGAATTTAGTTGTTGAATTTTTGTAAATATACACGTGAAAAGTAGAGCCTGCAATGGTAAAGTTGTGAAAGATTAACACCTTGAAGGAATGAGTTACTGTGCCTGGGGTCTCAGGATTATAGTCTTGGGGAACATCAAAGTCAATTGCATAACAAAGCTACAAAGACATGTTCTACATCCTATATTAATGAGTAGTTATGAATCTTAAAAGCTTGTGAGCCATCAGCAAATGTGTAACTATTGGTCTCCTCCCATCGGGAGTGAAAAAAAAAAGAAGAAGAAGAAAATTGAAGACATGTGGAAACACTTAGTCCAATGGACTACAGGACTGTGTGAATCTCAGACCCTCCAAGTTTGATACCAATAGAACTGCCACATCAGCCACTCTGGAAAAGATCACAATAGGAGGTCCTGGATAGAGTGGGTGGAGAATATGGAGCAACATTCAAAACCATCAAAAGAGCCTGCAAGGTTATTGGTCAGACAGATACGAGTGGAATCCCTGAAATGGTGGCCCTTAGTCATCCTTCCAATCTGGAACTGAACTTAACTCCAGTATTCTGCAAAATTATAGAGAATCTGTAAGGGAATAGTAACATTAATAAGGTATTTACACCATAGATGAATCAACCATTTAAGATCCAAAAGGCATATTATATCCCAGGACAAATCATAAAGATTAGAAAAGAATAAGGAATATAAAAAGAAAACATGGGAAAGTATAATAAATGATGTTATATTGAGGGGATCACAACAAAAAAAGATGGGATAAAAGGTGTATGGATTGTTAAATGTAAAAACAATTATCTACTCTGTAAACATTTACCCAATTCATAATAAAAAATTCTTTAGAAGCAGCTTAATTTCTATTAGCCTGAAAGTTTTCAACTATTAAATGGGAAAGTTAATATCTATTAGTAGGATTGTTGTGAAAAACAATACATCGTGTTGATAATGCACCAAACACACTTTCTAGCACTTTCTAAATATGGCAAAAAGATTAGCAATTATTATCATTAATGACTGATTACAGAATTAATGAGGTTTCTTTCATAGCCTATCAATAAACTTAGTTATTTATTTAACTTAAATAAATAAATCTCTGCTAGAATTTCAGGCAATTTTGAAAACATAGGAATCCTTAAATTCAAAACATAAATTAATATATAATCTCTGTATATTTAAGTTCAATTTTGCTTCATTTCATAATAATTAATTTTATAAGATTAGCATCACTTGAACTAGATATGAAAGAGAAAAAATATTGTTTAAGTGTTAAAACTTTTGGAAGTATGAATTTATAATAAAGCTCCCTTTTTCTCCATAATCTTTTATTAACTGACAATTGCAATGGAAACATTAGTAATTAGTGCCTATTAATGTTTCTTAATTGTTAAATCAGGAAAGGTGTGTGACAGGGTTGTATTTTTTTCATCATATTTATTCAATCTGAATGCTGAGCAAATAATCAGAGGAACTGGGTTATTTGAAGAAGAATGCAGTATTGGGATTGGCGGAAGGCTCATTAACAACTAGCAATATGCAGATAATACAATCTTGCTTGCTTACAGTAAGGAGGATTTGAAGCATTTGCTGATGAAGATCGATGATTTCAGCCTTCAGTATGGACTACAATTCGATGTTAAGAAAACCAAAATCCTTACAACTGGACCAATAGGTAGCATCATGATAACGGGAGAAAAGGCTGAAGTTGTCAAAGATTTTATCTCGCTTGAATACACAATTAATGCTCATGGAAGCAGCAGTTGAGAGATGAAAAGACTTTTTGGATTAGGCAAATCTGCTGCACAAGACCTCTTTAGAGGACTGGGAAGCAAGGATGTTACTTTGAGAGCCAAGGTGTACTTGACTCCAGCTATGGTCTTTTCAATTGCCTCAAATGCATGTGAAAGTTAGACATTGAGTGAGGAAGACGCATGAAGAAAAATCTGTATTTGAATTGTGGTACCGGAGAAGAGTATTGAAGGTACCATGAACTGCTAAAAGGACAAATCCATCTGTCTTGGAAAAAGTATGGCCAGAGTGCTCTGTAAATGCAAGGATGGCAAGACTGTCTTACATACATTGAACATGTTGTCGGGAGAGACCAGTCCCTGGAGAAGGACACCATTTTTGGTAATGGGGCAGCGAAAAAGAGGAAGGCCTTCAAGCAGATGGGTTGACACAGTGGCTGCAACAATGGGCTCAAGCACAGGAACAATTGTGAGGATGGCTCAGTTTAGGACAGTGGTCTGTTCTGTTGTGAATAAGGTCACTAGAGATCAGAACTAACTCTATGGTGCTTAGCAACAACAACAACAGCGTTAATGCACCGATGTCGTACAACGTCTTAGTCTATGTTTGGTTAACTAGATCCTATAAATACCTACTGGATATACTTTGTAGAATCCTGAATTTGTAAAAGAAATGGCTTCTTTGCATGTTTAAAGGTAATCTTCATATAAGTAAATATTTGCCATTACAAGGAATAATAATGGAATGGAATATATGATATACAGGCAGCTCATATTCACTTGTTGTGAGAAAGATAGAGAGAACTTGAAAGATGAGAGAGACAAGAGAGATTATATTCCACCAGTTTAAATATCCATTATGAGTTATTTAAATAATCTAGTTTTCTCTCATTTTTTTTTCTATTTGGATAAGGTATTTCAAATTGCTATAGGTCTGGACATAATAATAAACCATTATAGAAACCATCATCTAATTATTTCTGGTTTGCTCTTCATTTTATGAAGGTTATGTGCACACCTGGACAACACACCAGATACTTTGACTCAGTAAACAAATTGCAAAAGGTGCCAGAGAAGTGCAAGCAGCTGTGCTTATTCACTAATCAAAGAGTTTGCATTTCAAATCCCTCCCCCCGCCGCCTCCCACCCGAATACCATGTAAACAAGGCTTGGCAATTTGCTTCCAGGTATATTGTAGCTAAGAAAGCACTGTGTGGAGCAGGTCTCCTCTGTGTCACGCGAGGTTGCTACGAATTGTAATCTACTGGATGACCATGGGTTTGTCAGATTGGTCAGCTATCACCTCGTACAGAGAATCTAGGACCAGTTTACCATGGTTTGGTAAACTGGCAGACTGAAAACCTGTGAAGTGGCAAATTGAGCATAGAGGGGCACCGGATGGCGGGAGAGTGTGTGTTCTGTGAAAATGACATCAACAACAATATCTGACAATTATTCATGGTTTACAGTCTACAAGGCCTGGCCCTGTCTCATTTAATCTCCATAGCACACCTCAGAGGTAGGGGCATTATTATACCATGTCACAGATGAAGGAAATGTTTCACAGAGACCTTAATATCTTGTTCAATTTAACCCAGCTACCAAATCACAGAACTGGGACTCAAATTCATTTCCTCAGGCTCCATATTGTGGTCCCAGCTACTGCACTATACAAACCAAGCCATGGAGTGGATTCTGATTGAGAGCCTCTAAAAAATTGTGTCAGACAAATTTAACTTACTGGAATCAACATGTTATTCTCTCATCCAATCAGTTCTAGCTTTACTGCTCTGAAGAAATGACAGCAGAAAACTGCGTCTAGACTCAGACAGATGAAGACGGTATGATAGAATGAGATAGTGGACTCCCTTACTAGTGCTGGTGATACTGTCAGTCAATATGAGACCCTATTATCCTCAGCAATTTGTAAAGCGTCACTCATCTCAGGTTCTTAACTCTTGAATCCAATGAGATTATAGCTCGTTTTAGTTACTGGGTTAGTCTGGGGAGACTAGAGAAACAAATTCATGGAGACACTCATATGTATATAAGGGAGAGGTTTATATACAAGAGGAATTGAACATTGAGAAAACATCCCAGCCCAGTCCAGTGCAAGGCCATAAGTCCGATACTAGCCCATATGTCTGACATCAATCTATAAAGTCCTCTTTAGACTCACAAAACACACGCAATGACGATCACAGGCCAGTGGGTAGAAAGTCTTTGGATCCAGGGGCATTGTAAGCATCTCAGCACTGGTAGGGGTCTCCACATGACTTCTCCCGCTTCACAGATCTGGCTGGGTCAAGGTAGGTCCATGTTGCTTCTCCAACTTAGGGCACTACTGTAGTTCCATGTGCCCTGTCAGCTGCAATGTCTCCCAGGGAGTGGCAGAGAGAGAAGTGTCTCCCGCCTCTAAGGAGGAAGTACCGGATTTCCCAGAATTCTCAAGAGAAGGCCATGCCCACACAGAGGCCTCATTGGCTATGATCTGATTGACAAACTAGACTCCACCCCTATACTCTTAATCCTCAAGTTGACAAATGATTATGTATCTACCACCGTTACTATAGGGTTAAACATGGGATGTCACATACCTTAATTGCTTTGCTGGAAAGAGATGTTAATCTTTTCAGGGGGGTGTGGGTGTATTTCACGGTGACGACTGGAGCCAATGCAAAAAATATCTTGATCTTTTTAGCCAGCTCTGGATTTGTAGAGAACGCTATGAAAGCTGAAAGGGAAGAAGGCCGTAACTACTTCTTAGATTAAAAATATTTCATTTTTAATTGTAAAAGATAGTAAAGGTAGTGAGTTTCAATAATAACAAAGAAACAACTCAAAAACTAAAAACTAAAAAAAGAAAGAGCAAAAACAAATGTACTCATTTGTAAGGAAATCCAGGTTTTCTGGGTATTCCAAGAATGGCATTGACTAATTCAGACTAAAATGAGTTTCCTCGCCCTTTGGAGTGGAGGTCTACAAGTAGAGAGTGTTATGGAGACAATTCAAACGATTGTGGAGCATGTCTTGATAAACTCCAATCACCAGTCTAGCCTGATGACAGGCTTTGATATGAGACAATCTTGGGCTATGATCTTGGCTTCCCACTCAAGGGAGTTTTATGAAAACTTGGGCAATTTATCTCCTCTCTATACCTTTAACCTTAATCTGTAAATCTGGATCATAAAACACTTATAGGATTCCTATGATGAGTAAATTAAAAATAGAAGTAAAAGTAAAAACCACAAAATAATTAACAAGCTACTTAATCATCACTGTTAGAAAGTTTTCCTAAATTAAGCCATTTATAAATTAGCGGTATAATGGTCTCAACTGTTCATGGCCTCCAATGAAAAAATGCATATAGAATGCCTAGTGCGGGGCAGGAATTCTTGTATTAGGATTTATTTTGCACTGGAAACCTAGGTAAGATAAAGATACAGAATAGAGGCTGGCAAAATGCTGTTGGTTTTGTAGGCGAGGCCTCCAAAAGAGAACAGTCGGGGTGGGTGGGGTGGGGGTGGTAGAAGCGCCTCCGAGAATTGCCAACATTACTCAACCTCAATTACTCGATCTTGCCTAACCTAATGATTACCTGCCAACCGAAATCATACCGATTATTGTACCTAATCACTGAGCCTGTTAATGTTCTGCCTTCTTTGGGGTGTCTTCCTCTAATGGAAGAATTTATCTCTGCTTCCTAGAATCTACTCCAGGGTCTGGCAGTTGTTGGATATACAAAGAAGTAGGTGAGTTATTGTATCTATCAACCTCTGGATTAGGTACTGAGGAGAAATCCCAATTCTCAGTTTTGTTTGTACAAAGTCACTAAACTAGAGACACACAGAGAGAAGAAATCCTGCCTCCTACATGACCTAGAAGTGGACCTGACGCGTCTCAGATCAAATGTTCCCTAAATATACCTATGGTCGTGCCTTGGGAGTGGCCCACATAGAAGAGCTGCTTCTGTCCAGTTTTCTCTGTGATGAAATCGACCGTGGCTGGAAGGTCATAGTTAGCCATTTCATCCAAACTGCCAACAAGGAGGAACAACAAGATTAGAAAAACCATATTATTGCTAAAACCAAACCAGTTGCCCTTGAGTATAGTCCAACCCCTGGTGACCCTGTGGTAGAGTACAACTGCCCTCCAAGGGATTTCATCGGTTGTGACCTTTGGAAAGCAGATCACAGGTTTTCCCTCCAAAGCACTTCTGAGTGGGTTTCAACCACCGATCAGGACTCAAGTGCTTAAGCATTTGTGCTACCCAGGTACTTTATGTCAGTGCTTGAACTGCAGTATTTAGACGCATTCAGATACTTTGCTGATATGATATTTTTCTTTTAATAAAATTAGAGTATACATATCCAAGACCAAAGAAGAATTGATGCATTTGAATTATGGTATTGGCAAAGAATATTGAAAATATCATGGACTGCCACAAATCCTGGAGGAAATACAGCTCCTTAGAAGCAAGGATGCTGAGACCTCATCTGACATACTTTGGGATGTTATCAGGAAAGACCAGTCCCTGGAGAAGGACATCAAGCTTGGTAAAATAGAAGGGCAATGAAAAAAGAGGAAGGCCCTGGACAAGCTGGACTGGCACAGAGGCTGCAACAATGGCCTAAAAGGGAAGAAGCATTGTGAGGAGGGTGCAGGACCGGCAGCGTTTCATTCTGTTGTGCATAGAGTTACAGTGAGTCGGCACCAACATGACGGCATCCAGCAGCAACCGATGACCTTCTCATTTTCACCACACCCACTTTTTTAGAGATTACATTCCAAAGCACTTGGTTTGCAGAAGACTGTAGTTGACACTGGAAGCTTTAATGCCATTTTCAGCCTTGTTATACATTCAGCTTCTGTTTGAATTATTTCTGACCATTAAACACCAATGTGGCAGCTGCTTTGCCCCGAGGAAGGGCATGCTTGAAGGTAGATTACAAATGACACCCTTAGCCAACTCAGGGATGGGGCATTCTTGCCCTTGGGAGATCTGCCTGGATGTCTCCTTCATGGAAATTGGAGTACAAAGGCTACACGTTGTGAGTCATATCACAATTATCTTAGTAGCCAGGTTGTGGGAGAGCCTGAAAGCCAATCCTATAAATGTTTCTTACCAGCAATTGTATATATAATGCAATCACGGTTGTTTCCCAGCTTCTTTGGAACAGCCTTAACAGGGATGAGTTGATTTGCCAACAATCAGGGCTTTGTTGTTACTTCTTTTGTTTTCCCTCTTCTATTAATTTACTGTATGGCCTTGAACCCTCTGGCTGCTTTAATGGCCTCCTGCTAATGGTCTCCATCATGCAGATAAAATGTTTTCATCTTGTTTATGTCTTCATTAAGACTTAATTACAAGGTTTCTATAAAATAGATTTGAATTTGGGACTTGTTTTTCTCTTACACACACAACAGAGGGCTGAAAACGGACAGCGATGTAATAACAAAGGTACGTTTCTGTGCAGAAAGAAGATGTGCGTTCTTTGTTTCTCTCTCCTAGATTTCACTAAGCGCATTGGACAGTAAGGGAAAACTCAGAGGGTTTCACACAGGTAAATGAACATGGCACATACTTTACTCCTCCCTAGGCATCCCCTTACCTGAATGCCCAGTATTCCTGCGATTGGGGTGACAACGTCAAGTGTTTTCTAGACCAGGTGTTTCCCCGGCTGTTCCCCAGCCACACATCATAACCAAAATCTGCCAGAAGGAAGGGCAAGCTACTGTTGGGCAGGTTGCAAACCCATTCGCTGGCAGATGCCAGTAAGCCATGCTGCAAGTACACAACAGGTCTGGGAGCTGCAAAACACATGCAACGAGAATTTCAGGTCTCCATTTCCACATGTCTACAAGAAGGTTCTCCTTCCTGACTTCCTGTCATATGGAAGAAAAATTGGTGCCGGGCCAACCTCTTGTCCATTCCCTTCTAGAAGTTATTTATCTTCTCTATGCTTTATTTTTCCATTTTTAAATTATTTAAGTGCCCTACTCAGATTGTCCTGTTCTCTAATCCACTAAACTACATAGCAACCTCAGTTATCCCTTATCCATGTAATGGGAATCCTTTGCCCCTCTTCCATGTGATGGGGGATACAGCAAAGGCTATCTCACACCATACTTACAAGAAATAAATGCAAATTGAAACACTTAAAAGACTACATAGCACAATAGTTATCAGCTCTACTAACATCATAGTTTACATTAATAACATGTTATGTCTCAAGAAGCCCCTGAGAGCAAAACTTTAAATCATAAAATTTTAACATTTGAAAAACAATAATAAAATACCATTTGTTGAATGCTTACTGAATACCAGACACTAGATTTTACACACAGTGCTTCATTTAATTTTCATGAAGACAATTTGTTAGAAAGTAACAAACAAACAAACAAAGAAGGTTTTGAATGGAAATTTCGATTTCCACTCAAATTTGACATTGTTAATTTCATTTGAAAACCCTATTCCCAATCCAGAATTAGAGCCATCTGAGTTTTAAAGAGAGAGAGAGAGAGAGAGAGAGAGAAGCAAAGAAGGAACCTGGGAACTGGTACAGAAAACAAAAAAGGTGGACAGAGGAAACAAGGCATTTCCTCCCTGCTAGATACTGTTTGTGAAGGCTGTGTTGTTATCTCGGGACTCTCTCTTCCTTGTGCCACTGTGGGACCTAGAAGGGCTTCCTGAGACTGGTTAGGCTAGCCTGACTCTCAGAGAGTCCTCAGCCATCTGGAATTAAGGAACTCACTGTCTATGTCCATTTATCCACTTTTTGGAAGAAAAAGGAAAGAATGGGTGTTACTAGCTCTGCCAAACTTAATATAGTGAAATGGTAGTCAGCACCCATGGCCTCTCTCTGATCTGGGCTTCAGGCGGCTTCTTATCTCAGAGACAATTTTCCAGCCATTTGACAGCTGTCCACTAGAAATGAGAAGAGATGAGTTTGGAGAAACAAAGTCCTCGTGAATAATTACAAAGGCAGTGCAGTTATTTTGAGAAGCGATTGGCTCTATAAAACCAGCAATACAGCGATACCGTTTCCTTCTCTGAAACTCTAGATTTTATCTTTACATAATTAACTCACTTGATATGGTATCCCCCAAAGGGGGGAGGGAACTAAAAACAAAGAGAAAAACAAAATCATCTCTCTCAGGACAATATTTATCTTCCTGCTACCAAGATATTTAGACATGTCTGGTTTAGGCCATAATCATTTCATAACGAAACAACTCCTACCTGTTCTATTTGAACATGCTCTTCCATGAGGAATTCTATAAATTCCCAGGATATAACCATCTTTTGTCACGACATCATACTGTTCAGTAGGATAGCCCCAGTAGGAAATAATCTGGCTCTGAAAAGAGAAAAGGAAATACAAAACAAAAAACACCTAAGCATGTGACCTCTTCAGTTTTACATATGGTTTTCAATGTAAACAATTCTAAGTTGCAACATACGGTGTATCTGCTTATGAATGGAAACAGCATACGGAGGGGAAAATTAAGATAATCTGAGGAGGGATCCTAGAAGGAACTCTATACAAGACATGGATAAAGGAGGAGGGGACTACCTGTTGATCTGGTATTAGTATTTGTCCTGTTGGACCTACTACAAACAAAACACTTGTGTTCTTCGAAAGACTTCATTGAAAGAGTAAGAGGAGAGCCCACAAACTGGGAAAGGATATTTAATAATGACATAATAGACAAAGGACTAATTACTAAAATCAACAGAACTTTACAAGTTTACAATAAGAAAAAACGTATAGCCCTCTGAGAAGGTGGGCAAGGCACCAGAAGACAATTCACAAAGAATGACACTCGAATGGCTAATAAACACATGAGGAAGTGCTCCCAGTCATTAGCCATTGGGATGTGCTAGTCAAACAACGATGACAAACCACCTAACATCCATAATTGTAGCCCTTTAAAATAACAAACAAACAGAACAAATGCTGGAGAGTGTGGCGAGATATGAACTCCTATCCTCTGCTGGTGGACTTGTAAATATGTGTAGTCACTGTAGTGGGCGATTCAGCAATGCCTAAAACAGCAGAACTACATAGGAAGTAAGCTTCCGGGGAACTCCCCTTATCTAAAATTGAAGGATGGGAGGAAGGTGGTCACTAAACAGAGTGCTTGGAAGAGAGGCGTATAGAAGAGTAAAGGCATAACTCTGACCCGAACACATAATTTTGACAGTAGATCTTCCCTATGATGCAGGATGGCCCTGATCTGGTTTCCAAAATTTTCTGTATTTTTGGTTTGTATTCTCTTATTTAGTTTTTGTTTGTTCATATTAGAGTGTGTCTCAGAGGTGTTATGTCAATGGAGGTCACCCTCTTGAAGCTGTGTTGTATGCTTTTCTGTCTTTTGATATATGGAAATATATGGAACTCAAGATTGAATAGGGAGAGCAAGAAAAATAAGGGGTTTGAGGGAGGGGATACAGTTGTGGTGGTGGCGTACAAAGAAGATGATATCAAGGAGTGCATGTAGAAAAAGATTGTTTCGAAACTGATTGTGGTAACAATTGTACTTGACGTGATTGAAATATGGAAGGACATGATATATGAATTGAATACCAAATAATTTAAAAAAATACAGCAGGAGAAAAAAATAAAATTGTCTGGCTTAACTCTCAAAATGTTTTTACAATAACAGTCAATGGTCATTTAATGAGGAGAACCACAGGGGATGGTGCAGTGTCCTGTGGATAATAATAAATGAGCTGATACAACCCTAGACGTGACGGGAGGTGGGAGAAAGCAGTTTCCAGAGCATGAAGGAGAAGGTCACGTTTAAAGGATCTCATTGAAATGTGCTAACTGATTCAATGGAGAGGTGTGCCCCCCTTAAACTGATCTCACATGGAAGAAATTAGGGCAATAAAGAGCTTAAACCCATTCTCCTCCCCCTTATAAGCCCCCTTGCTCAGGATTTCCATTGGCCGATGCTGGTTGACTTAGCCATTATAGATGACCCTTTGGGGCAGATAGAGGGATGTAAGAGTTAGATAATGAATCCAGAGGGATAAACAGAAGAAGATACCCCTTCTCAAAAGAGACTAACTAGTGCTCCTTTCCAGTGGCTTAGGTCTACTGTTTTATTGATTCTTACAACAGCCTTTTGAAATAGAATTGTACCTATTTTACAGTTGAGTAAATGAAAGTTGAGGAAAATTCATGATATGTCAAGATTATACACTAGAAAGAACTCAAAAATTGGACTAATGCCAAAGTAAGGTCAAGATTAGGCTTTCTCCCAGGACTTGCACACAGAATTCATGTCTGCATCATGGGGCAGCATCATGCAGTGTGCAAGAGCCTAGACTCTGGAGACCGACTACATATCATTGGATTCTCGTTTTTCTACTTATTAGTTATGTAACTTGAGCTCTACTTCATTTCCCTCAACTGAAATTTATATAATAATTGTGTCAATGTTCAGATTTGCTGTAAAGTGCCCAGAACAGTGCCTGCCACAAAATAAGGACTTTGTAAATGTTTGTTATTCTTCTTGTCTTAAAGAAAGATTATGAACTAAGAAGTACTCAGAACATGGAGGAAAATGATCTGTTGAAACACAGGAGGGTTTGCGACATACGGATGTTCATGGAGTGAAAGTTCAACCAGGTGGCCAGCAGTCCGAGGTACTTGTGAATACTTTGGGTGGAGAAACACAAAGAAACAATAAAACACTTTGATATCCACATTTTCTTAAAGTTATAATACTTGGACAGATCTGAATGTAGGTAATGGTTTCAATATTGAACAGTGTATACACAAATAGGAACCCTGTGGGTGGACGCTTGGAGGAGCACTTTGGGGTCAGCCCATTAGAATGTAGCTTCTCGTGCATACTGGTCCTTGTCTTTGTTCAGCATTGTCCCTTTGCCACATCTGGTATGAATGTGTTCTTAAGTTAAGATGCATTTGGTCATCTTAACTTAGCAATAGAAACCAATGAGGACTTATGAAAGCAAATATGCAGGCTGATGTAACTTTCAGCATCACAGAAATTGCTCTATTAAAAAAACCTTAGGAAGGACCCAAGAATTCTCTGAAAAGGTAATCACTAGGAACTCATGGCCTTCTCTGCAGGAGATCACCCTTAAACGGCAGCCCAAAGCATCAGGAGCAAGACGATTGCTGCTCTAAGTTCAGCTAGGTGGTTGAAATCCTAGATTCAGTTAGCCATGCAAGGAACAGTGGAGGAAACACACACTAGGTCACTGGAGGGATAGTTTAAAATTATGCCAGTTTATGAGATTTTATGTAAGAGGAGGGGGGAGGGTTGATAGGTATTAGCTCAGGTGAAGGGGAAGATATTAATTTATATGAGAGAAAAGAAAAATCAAAGGAGGAAGTAGGGCAAGCTATTGAAGGGTTGAGAAGTCGTTTAAGTTGTTGGATTAAATAGGTTATTTGAAATGTAAATCCCATTGAATTCACAAATTGGTAAAAAAAAAAATAAAATAAAATAAAAATTAAGTAAAAGTGCACCTCCCTGCAGATTTAGATCATCTCTAGAGACCCCACCAGACAATGTTTATACTGTAATGAGAATGATCCTCATCCCTGTGACCTGCATCCACGCTTGAAAAATGTTTTCTTGGCACTCTTTTCCATGCTGACCTTTCAGAACTGCCATTAGGGCCAATTCAGCTAATAAACTAGTTGGTAAGGGAGTCCTGGTGACCCCAACATTTAAGCATCAACTGCTAACCAAGAGTTGATGGTCTTAGCCCATCCACGACTCCACAGGAGAAATACCTGGATTCCTATAAACATTGCAGCCAAGGATGGTCTTGTATAGAGTGGGAGAAAATGGGGACCAAACCTCAGAATCATAAAAAAAGACCTGACTTACTGGTCCTATAGAGACTGGTGGTGCCCCCAAACTATGTCCCTTAAGAACTCACTCCCTTGGCTTTCATTTGCAGTCAAAAAATATGGAGACCTGGAAGAGGAATGATAGCACACGGGAGGCAGGAAGGCCTTAGATTAATTAGTCATTTGAGAGTAGAAGGCCAGCGTTTACCTAAGGACAAAGTTAAGAAAGCTAAAGGAAGTGGAAGAATGGAAATAAACCGAGGCGTGGGATACCTGTCCTTGCAGTTGGGACTACAATGAATGACACACCTGATCATCTGTAAACTGTGCCCAATTCACCATAAAAAGTTTTTAAAACAGGATAATGAGTTAACAATGCCTTCTCTTAATGTATTTTTCCTCAGTAAGTGACTTACAATATTCATGTTAGCTTCAGGATTTGTGATGCTTCTTTTCTTGCTCTCACCACATGAAGATCCAAGAAGAAGCATCCAGCATGCTGCTGCTAAAGGCTGCCACATTTGGAGACTGCCTGGAAAAGGAAATATTAACATATTTACCATCAAAGAGAAATTCCACAAAGTAAAACAAAAAAAAATACTAGGCAATCACTTTGGGGAACCTAACCTTTCTGAGCTTCACTTTCCTTTACTGCTATGAATAACAATGTAGAGAACATTTTCACCTACTTCTTAGGGTTGTTTTACTAAAGCCTAAGTAAAGCTGCAACATTCTTAGAATAATGCCTGGTTAAAGAAAGCGCTAACTAACTGTCCACTATCAGCATTGTATTCATCGTTAGTGACAGGTATTGATGAAGAAAGCAGGAAGTGTTCACCCAGTGTTGTTTGGAAAATTGGCTAGATCGTTGCAAAATAATTAGATTGTTTGCAAAATAATTACATTGTCCACATATTTTACATCAAAAGTGGCATTTGGACTAAGAGTTGGGCTGCTAACTTCAAGGTGGATGGTTCAAACCCATATGCCACTCCTCAGGAGAAAGATGAGGCTGTCCATCCTGCGAAGATTTACAGTCTCAGCAAAGCTAAGGAGCAATTACAGCCCTTTAGGGACATGATGAGTCAGAATCAACTCAGTGGAAGTAGGTCTGAGTGCAGGCTTGGTCGAGTATGGCGTGGAGACAGGGTGATGCAGGGGATGGAGCATTGATGTTTCCCTGCAAGGTCAGTGGTTAAACCCTACCAGGTACTCCATATAGAAAGACAGGGCTGCCTGTGCCTGCAAATATTTAGTCTTAGAAACCCACGGAGTAGTTATACTCTGTCAATTATGGATTGGAATAGATGGATGGCAAAGAGTTTGGGTTGGGGAAATAGATCCCATTCAGTTCCAGCTGAGTAGTTTGCAACCATGGTGAGCTCAGATTTATCCCAGTAAAACTGTGCTTCACAGGATTTTCAATAGTTGATTTTTTAGAAGTAGATCACTGAGCCTTTCTTCCAACATGCCTCTGGATGGCTTCAAACATCCAACCTTTCACTTAGATGAGCACCACCCAGAAACTCCTAAGTAAGATCCAAAGACCACTTGTATCATTCTCATGATAAAAAATAATGGTCTTGGACTCCACTGCAGCATAATTAAATGGGAATATCTGGTGTGAGGGGGCTGGAATCTGCAGATTAAGTCATCTTTCCAAATAATTCATGTGCATTCCAAAATTGGAAATATAAAAAGACTAACTGGACTCATTGCCTTTATTATTTTTTCCCATATTTTCCATTCTCATTTTTGTCTCTCTGGGACCTATCATGGGGCTCCCTATAAATTCAAATAAATGAATAGATGCAGAAGTAAATTAGTAAATCAATTAATCTCAATGAATATGCCAAACTAACTATTTTCCTATTACAGCTTTCTTGCCCAGTTTTACTTAACCCTGTCTCATTGGTCTTTTTGATAGTAGGCTCTCAGAGTTTAATGTCCTTGATTTAGGACTGTGTCTTATGTAAACATAGCAAGGATTTTAAAAAATCAATTTGTTTCTCAAGGCATTTACATTATATATATAATGTAATATAATGTATAATGTAATATATATTACTTTATATGTGTGTATATATTTATATATGTATATAATGTGTGTATATATACAATAATATATATAATATAATGTAATATATATATATATATTGCATTATATATATATATTGCTGAATGATGGCTGCTGGCCTAGTGTTTATACGTTGGGCTGCAAGCCATAGAGTCCACCATTCTCTTCTCTGGAGACCAGGTTTTCTATTCCCATCAAGACTTTCACTCTTAAAAACTTACAGAGGAAGTTCTACCCTGTCCTATAGGGTCATTATGAGTCAGGATTGCCTTGAAGGCAGTGATGATTTGTTTTTGTTTGTTTGTTTTCCAGAAACACAATGACTGGCAGGCAAATCAAGGGTCCTTGAATTAGAACAGATTCAGTACTTCTGAACCAGGTATGCTAGAGGGTCAGGAAGACTTGTGTAGGGAGGGAAGGATAGTACCATGTCTGCTGCCTGTAAGAAAAGCTGAAGTGCTGGCCTCAAGGGACTAGTGCATCAACAATGCATCACCAATGCACTAGTGATGACAGGTGGTCTTCACAACCATGACAAAGTGTTCCTTCGGTTGCCTTCGTTTAGCTCACCAGTGTAATGGATGGCAGTACAATAGGTCATGCACCCATGTAAGGATTGGCAGGTCAAATGGAACAACCTTTCTTCAGCATCTCTCATCAGGGGTGTGTGCTTACCAGTGCTGCCATTTCTAAGCCCCCTCCTTTATTAATTCCAATTATTAGTTAAACCTGCATGATTCAAGTGCCTCTTCTTAAGAAATCAAAAAGCCAATTGGATTCCTATAATCCTTATGGGACATAGATGCTATTTGTAAAGAGCTTGTGTGCAAAATGGTAATACACTCAGACAATATCATTTTGAGTCTCAGTAGAGTCCGGCAATCAAAAGCCTGCTTAATTTTGCTGAGTCTACTTTCCAAAGCCTTTTGGCCTACAGAAACCCATTGTTTGCATAACAGAAGTTAAGCATTCTCAGGACCCAAAGTTTCCAAGGTGCAAATTTGGGAAATGTTACTTTTATACTCATTTCAATTCGTATCCACTAAAACAAAAATACCTATCAAGTAGGGAAAATTAAAAAGATGCAAAGTTAAAAAGAATTGAAATTTATCTTTGAAAATTTGTCTGCAGGCACCTGCTCTCCAGGAGTACACACATCTCCCTGAATTTGATTTGAAAAGGATAATATTGGGAATGCAATAACTTGTAAGACACTTCTCAATTACTCAGAAATTCTCTAAGAATTTTAATTGTCTTAAAATTCTCTAAGCATTATTTTTTGTCTTTCTCTATTAATTGTCTCCCAACTATTCTATTATAAGCCTCAGTGGCACAGAGGTGAAATGCTTAGGACAGCAGTTCAAGCCCACTGGTGACTCCATAGGAGAACTACAGGACTCAGCCTGCTTCTGTAAAGAGTCCTGAGTCTTTATTAAGTGACGTCAGTGGTTGAAGTATTCTGCTAGTCAAAATACTGAACTATAACTGCTTCATAGTAGATGGAATAGATTGACAGCAACTGGGTCGGCTAACTATATATTTTATGTAGGGAAAAATATATATCTTCCCAAATACATTGTCCTGTTGTACTTTGGGCTTCATAGTGGGTTTTATATAATGTACCTACGTGTTTTCTAAAATGAAAAATTCTCAAACTATTAGTAGACTTTAGAAACTTTGGACACAATAGAATGTATTAGGTATCTACAATAAACTAGCCATTCTGTCTCCGCAGAAATTTTAACTTAGTAGATTCAAATACAGAATTCTTATCACTGAAGTCATTGAAAATGGGATATGTCCCAGAAATAGGAAATGGCTTCGTATATACAAGTTCTTTGGCAATTAAATCAAAGGTTTAATACAAAGATGATGTGAATATGCATAATAAAATTATTAGCGGATGATAGTCTCACAGCTTGAGAAAGAAATAACCATTGGAATGGCAATTATTTCTTATGTCCAAAGGAAGCCAATGTCAACCTTACTAAGAGAGATCATGAGAGCACGTCAGAATGTTTGAGGAAAGTTTCCATTATCTATTGATTCCAGTTTTGCATCAACTTTTTGAAGCCCCTTTGCATAATCATAACTTCATGAGTGCCGTTATACATTTTTGTTTCACATTTTCTTGCTTTATGAGCTGTCAACGTTGGACTGCTAATGGCACGTTGGTGGTTGGCAATCACCAGCTACTCCTCAGGAGAAAGATGAGACCCTCTGTTCCCAAAAGATTTGTAGTCTCCCCCAGCCAGCTGGTAATTACACAAAGGGCCACGTTAAAAAGACAAACAAACAAACAACAACAAAGAAGCCTTGTAGTCTTGGAAATTCTGCACAGAGTCCTCATGAGTCAGAAGCAACTCAATGGCAGTGGGTTTGGTTTTGGTTTTGTGAATGCTATCTATATGGTTGAAGTTTGGCTAAACAAAAAAACTGAAAAAGCTCCTTTTATCCCCACTCCAAATTCTGCAAAGAGAAAGAAACAGAAAAGAAAACAAGTTTAAGAAAGAAAGCATTAAGTATTGTGACCTGTGCTGTTGTTTTGTTTTGTTTTGCACATATGTCTGAGTGGTTTTTGAATATGATCTATGTTCATTTGTTGGCAAACATTCTGTCTACTGGGGAGCACTCAGTAGACACAAACATGGTTGAATGTGAGTCATGTATTTCTATATATTTTCCAGTGAGTGTAATAGCAGAAAGTGTAATAGCAATTATTCATTCAGTTTATTTTTACACTGCTAATCTAAAATTGTACATTATTATTTCTCAACTCTTCTACATAAGGAAAGTGGCTCATTCTCTTCTCTATCGCAATGCAGAATTAGAAGAGATGATAGGGGGAATGAGAAAAACATAGGAAGAGTTGGAAAGCAAAAGGCCTTTCTAACTTGTAGGTTAGGCCTTTCCGTTCTTTCCTATGGTAACTCATGGAGCTGCAGTTACATGTCCCACACAGCCCTTATCACAGGATGGAGGGACTCCAGAGACTTGTGCAAAAAATGGGGTCTGTAAATTATGTAGAATTATAAAATGCAATAATATAAAAAAGTATATGTATTCTTTATAGAAAGATTCAAGAACAGAATGTTAATGAAGCTAAAAACTATACCCAATTACTTTTGAGGGGTGGGGTAGGGGTTATTCATTGAAATACAAGCTCTTAAATATAAAGTAGAGAAATTACAGAAAAATCTAGTGTTCATGTCGAAATACTTAGTACAGGTGTGGTGCTGGCACTATTATAATATTGCTATCCCTAAAATGTGTATATTTTAATAACTGAGTAGATTATTCCCGATAAATGCTAAAAAATATTAGATGATTTTAAAAGAAGGTAGGGAAAGAATTAATTTTTATAAAGGACAGACAGAAAAGAAAAAATAAGAAGGCACATTTAAAAAAATTACATTAAAAAATAAAAATAATTTGCATTAAATG